ACCTGCGCCTCTTCCGCCGAGCCCTGAAAACTCATCTGTTCCATGCGGCCAGCCTGGCGTAGTTTTGATTGGGTTTTGTTAGGGGTTTCATATTTTAGAGCAGGCTTTTATGTAATATTTACTGTGATTTTTATTATTGCCTGTTCACCGCCCTGAGTCCCGTAAGGGAGATAGGGCGGTATATAAATTTAAATAATAAAATAAAAATAATAAAAATAGATGCCCTTAAGAAAAGGTGATCTCACAAATCATCTGTTCCTTTTCGGAATGCTGAAGGCTACTGACTGGAAACCAGTGGGCTTATGTAACCTGTGGTCTTTGCGTTGCCACCTCCCTTGTCTGTGACATTTATATCTAGCCTTGCCTTCAAAAACGGTATTCACAGTGGCTCTATGAGGCAGGGGGACCCACAGAAGACCCCTGAGATGAGGCAATGGGTCGAAGCAGCTGGCTGCCAAGAATGCTGTGCTCCCCACCCCCCATGAAATCTGTGACTGACCCTGGGAGGTGGCTGAGGACTCTGGGTGCCATGTTAGAAAGGAAAGGAAAACAAGGCTGAAATGACTGGCCATGTTTGCAGAGACTTTTCATGAGCTGAAGGTTCTCGGAGGCCTCAGTTCAATGGAAACGACGGAAGGATTGCAGCTAAAGGACTTGTCTGGATAGATTTTCCATTGCCTTATGGAGAAAGTACAAAAGTTCTTTGCCCTTTGTTTTATAAGGCCTCTATTGCCTTATAGATCAATCTCTCCTTGGAAACCAATGTGCTTCAAGGGCAGACCTACTCCCATCATGCAATTCTTCCCTTCAGCTAGACATTCAAGCCAGCCAGGGCAGAAAAATAAATAAATAAAATAAAATAAAAACGTGCTGAAAGGAGTCAGAACGCTTTGCACATTGCAAAATGTGTACTGCGAGCCAAAGTAGGCATTATAATAATTACAGGGCTTGGACCCATGCCCGTTTTTATATTTTATTTTATTTTTCTTAAATACCAAGTAGCCATTTCAATTAGGAATTGTGCTGTTGGATGAGGAATGCTTTCACTCTTCCCTCCTCAGCTATTTCTTATGAAAATAATTCTTACTCCACTGCAGTTAGTATCAGAACAACCAGGGATGGGCCTGGTTCCCTAGACTGCTTGGATCTGAAGTCCCATAAGCCTCAGCAACCTTGGCTAAGGAATTTCCTGGTCATGGGAAGCATAACTCCACGTAGAGGGCATCAAGCTTGATTATCCCAGGGAAAAATAACTCTCATTGGCAAGATATTGATTTTAGAAAGCACTTAGGTGATTTTCCATCAAAGGAAAGGTTACCGTAGTTTGCAGTTGTTTTAACATTCAAACATTTTCTGCAGGGTGTGTATGCTATGAGTGTGTATGCTATGCTATATATTTTCAATTGGTGACCCAATGAAAACCTTACTCGTATGCACATACAAAAATAAATAAAACAGATGCGACCCAGTTAAACTAAGCTCTCATTCCGCACCCGATCAAAATGCATTATAATTTCCTAGTTTTAGCTCATTTAACAAATTCATCCTTCTGTCCTGTCTTTCATTTTGACATTTCTGATTTCCATTTATTTCCACAACTCTCTGGGGAATTTGGGGAGTTGAAAGTCCACACATAAGGGCCAGAACACAAATTAGCATTTATTTCATTTATAAATTTACATAAGATTCAACCAAACATTCTTCACAGGATTACACTTCATGCATTTAATAAAGTCTCGCTTTGTATTGTATCAGTGCAGTACAGAGTTGTCAACTTGCAGAAGGGCAGATGCTATTTGGATAACACATAATAATTTCCAACAATAAGAGCAATGTGACAATAACATCAATTATACAGAAAGATGAGACAGGGATTTTCCTACAATCACATTAAAGTTTATAATTTGGAGTCAAATGTGTGTCAGGATTTGGAAAGCTACATGAAGATACCAAATTGTTCACTTTTGATTGATGATAACACTGTGTCTTATAAGTAATGATAATGTCTTATAGTACATTGTTTCAGAGAAAATAAGAGAAATATCCTTATGGTAGATTTCCAACAAAATGTGACTTCAGTTCTCATGTCTAGTGTATTGCATCCATTTCATATTAATTAGAACTGATTACATGTATTTTAATATAAGCAGTGTTCACCACCAAATGAACTAATGCTTCACATGTGGCCTGAAAACTGATACATTTATCTTTTTCCCAAGCTATTGTTTCAATCTGGGGTCAATACGAATCAGAATTCTGGATTATAGGATTTCAGACAGCCTAATGTTTTCTTCAATGTAATATGGGGCAGATCTTAGCTCCTGTTGCCGGTCAACAAAGCATGTGTGAGCTAGCCTACGACACGGGAAATCTGAAGGACCAGCGTATGGTTAGATTCTGCACCAAGAGTTTTACACGATTGACATTAATTCAAAGACTATGACTTTAATTTAGATTTCTGACTTCTCTTTCATGTAGTAAGGACAGAAGTCATTTGAGATAATACGGTGTCTTCAGGGATTGTAATTTCCAAACTGGTTCTGCTGAATCGAAACCGAGGCAGCCACGGTGGAGAACACAATGACCAAAATAATAGTCAGAACGATCCACGCAATCCCCAGTCCAAGTGCTGTGTGATCCAAGACAAGGGCCAGTTTGGAATATTTCCTAGCAGACGCGACGTCTCCCTGATGATTGGCCCCTTGAGTCTGAGGGTGGAAGGGTAGAAAGAGGTAAGAAAAAGGTTATTGATACTCATATAATTAGTTTGACTCTGGACATGTGGGAGAGCAAGGAGGAGGCAAATGACAAAACATGCATGAGAACATAATTTTTTAAATAAAGATGGCAAATGGGAAGGCAGAAGAAGGGAGGGGAAAAAAAGAACAAGAAGAGAAGAAAATATGTAAGGGAGAAGCAACGGAAGAACAAGAGAAAGAGAAAGGCACTAAATACAGAGTGAAACAAAAGACTGGTGAACATAGTATTTATTCTCTCTCTCTCTCTCTCTCTCTCTCTCTCTCTCTCTCTCTCTCTCTCTCTGTGTGTGTGTGTGTGTGTGTATTTGTGAAAACCCTGATCATATTGCAGAAGGACAAGATCAGCCTGGGTCTCAAATTAATTGAGTTGAATCCCTTTTTATCCATTTGGTGCACTTGTGCCCATACCCTGTTTTAAAAATCAAACTCTTTCATAACTACTCCAATTGATTTAGCTCGTCAGATTGAATACAGGCAGTCCTTGACTTACAACAGTTCATTTAGTGACTGTCCAAAGTTACAACGGCACTGAAAAAAGTGACTTATTACCGTTTCTCATAGTTACAAACTGATTCACTTAAATTCAGATGCTTGGCAACTGATTCATGCTTATGACCGTTACTGTGTCCCAAGATCATGTGATCATTTTTTTTGCAACCTTAACAACAGTAATTTTGGGCTCAGTTGTGGTTGTATGTCGGAGACTACCTGTAGAGAGTTTGCACAGGACTTTGGGTGGTGTAAGACATTTCTGGGCAAGTTGGATTGGAAACAGATCATCAGCAATGACAGATAAATTGATTTAGTGGAGAAAAAAAAGACTCTGGGTATCAAATGCAAGACCTATTTATGTTGAAATCAAATTCTTGCATGTCTTTCGACCACATGGCTGAGGCAACAGGTTAAAAACTGTTGCCAATCTCTGTCAGTCATGAGCAGTGGTGGGATTCAGCTGGTTCGCACTACTTCGGCAGAACTGGTAGCTAATTTTTGCCCAAGCCCAGAACGAACTTCTGGAAGCGGCATCCACACAGAGAACCGGTTGTTCACATATTTGAATTCCTTCCTTCCTTCCTTCCTTCCTTCCTTCCTTCCTTCCTTCCTTCCTTCCTTCCTTCCTTCCTTCCTTCCTTCCTTCCTTCCTCCCTCCCTCCCTCCCTCCCTCCCTCCCTCCCTTCCTTCCTGTGGTAGGATTCAGCCAGTTCGCACCAGTTCGGCAGAACCAGTAGCTAATTTTTGTTGCCCAAGCCCAGAATGGACTTCCGGAAGCGGCATCCATGCAGAGAACCGGTTGTTCACGTATTTGAATCCCACCATTGGTCATGAGGGATAGTTTCCCGCCGTCTCTTGTTCATGTACTGACTGATCCGGCATCAGGCTGTTTGCTTTAATCTTTAAGGAAGCAGCTTTCCTAGATTATTTGCACAGCCTTACTAATCATGGCATCTACATTCCTGTTAAACCACATGGCTCTTGCTACAGATATTCACACCATCTTGCATTGTTTCAGACAGCCTACATATAAAAAACAATTTAAATTAGCAAGAATTAAATAGAGACTAAATAGCAAGAGGACGAACGGTTATGTGGGTGGAGTCTTCTCTCTTATTCCATCAACCACCTCCAGCATAGAGCGTCCACATCAGGGCGCCAAGCCAACTGATGGAGCCAAGTTTTAAGTCCTTCTGGAAGGCCAAGAAAGTGGGAGCAGATCTCACCTCTGGTGGGATGTTAGCCTTTGAGGCCATTCAGATCAGGAAGCAGGTTTCATAAATCTGACTGGAACTCTTCTTGAGTGATCGAGGCTACACTACCAGATTATTCAATGCCTGGCTGTTGTTTTCCCTTCTCTCCCTCTTATTTCTCAGGGAATTAGGGTGTTTAAGTTTTCTTCCTAGATTTCCCTTGTTTACTGGGTTTTTTTAACTGTCTGATTTCTCCAAGGTCATCTCTGTAGCTTTCTATGCATGAGAATTTTTTCATCGACCTGATGCCCATTTTTTTGCTCCAATGTTTCCTGCAGTCGCAGTAAGACATTTTGTGACCCAAGTGCATAAAATCCAGCATTGTAGGCTAAAATAGTACCACTGATTCTCAGATCTTTTTGGAAGAAACTGGCTGCATGATTTTATTTTGTCTACATGAAGTTCTGCTGCTTCTACCCATATTCAATGGGACTGCCCTTCAAACGGACTTGGACTTTGTGTCTTTGGTGCAAAATGCAATAGCCCAGCTGTTATCAAGAGTAAGTACGGTAGCAATGCCACACTTGTTCTTTGTTGCTCATTGGTTGCAAACAGACATTGGGAGCCAATTCAAGGGGTTGGTTTAACCTATAAACTCTATGTAGCTCAGTACCTGTGTATTGACAATTTTGCCTCTTTTGTTTCACTCATTCTGTATCTACATTCTGAATGGGGCAGTTGGGAGTCCCCACCTCACACAAAGGAGTAGGGGAGAATCTTCTTGGCAGCCCTGTTCCTATAGCATAAGGTGTCCTAAGCACAGTGGGCTGCCTGCCTTGCTTGCATTTTACAATTTTCGGTTCACACGTGGAGCAGATGGTGGACCAGGACTGTCTTGGTGCTTGATTTTTTGTATGGTTTGGTTACACTGATCATTTTCATTGTACTTTTCTCTTGTCATCTTGTAAACTATCCTGAACAGGATAGAAGAAAGAAAGAAAGAAAGAGAAAGAAAGAGAAAGGAAGGAAGGAAAGAAGGAAAGAAAGAGGAAGAAAGGAAGGAAGGAAAGGAAGGAAAATACAAAAGACACATAAAAAATAATTATGTTATTGGAGAGACGCCATGAAAGCCCATGCTGAGTCCGTAATCAGCCATGGAAACTCACTAGGTGATTTAGTGCCTGCCTGTATATCTCTGCTGGAAGAACAGAAAATACTTGATTGGGTGTCTCTAGGGAGTGTCCTTTGACATCTCTTCACTATGATGCTATTATGAGAAAAACTTCTTTTTAGCGTTCTCTCCATTGAGCTGGTATAGGAAAGGCAAGCCATCAGTTCTATTGCAAGCTGTGGCACGTTCTTTGTGGCCTTCCAACCTGATTTTTTAAAACTTATTTCAGCTAATGTTCAAATCGGCAAACTAAATTTCTGGGAGGTTTAATGCACCTCTCTGATGCATCCCTTTCCCTTAAAAAAAACCCCGCCCACAACAGTTTGGTATCTGAAACACTTTTTTAAAAATAGGGTAAAGCCCATAACAACAACATGTTTGCTAGAAGGAATCATAATTTTGTTACAAGGGAGTCTTCAACTTACAATCATTCATTTAATGACCATTTCAAGTTGCAATGGCACTGAAAAAAAAGTGAAGTACAACCATTCCTCGCACTTATGACGGTCACGGCAATCCCATAGTTAAGTGAATCAAAATTCAGGTGCTTGACAATCGGCATGTATTTATGATGCCTGATGCATCCTGGGGTCTTGCAATCACTATTTGCCCCCTTCCCAGCTGGCTTCCAACAAAATCAATGGAGGAAGCTGGATTTGTATGATTCGCTCGATAACTTGAGTGATTTGCTTAATAACTGTGGCCAAAAAGCCAATAAAATCAGGTGTGACTCACTTAACCCCAAACCCTCCCCCCCCGTCCTTGTTTAACAATTCTGATCCCATTTGTGGTCGTAAATTGAGAACCACTTGCACGCTTCATCACATTCATCCACGCTTCTGCTTGCAATAAATAATTCTATAGTACTTCAGCAATAATCAACTAAGGAAATCAGTAACTCTGATAGCTTACTGAAAGGAGCTCTTATCTCTGCAATGCTAGCTTTCCTTCTTTGAACTGTATTTGTTCTCTTGTGTTAACAAACCCTTAACAAACTTTATTCCCTTTTTTTCTTGCTCTCTTTCCTTTTACTCCCTCTTCTATAGTCCTGTCCCTTGCTTCACACTTTGCTGCAACAAGTGCGGTCTCTTTTACCTCTTACGAAGACTAGATTAGCATTGACCATTTTCTCTCTCTGTTTCTCTGTCTCTCTGTGTCTGTCTCTCTCTCTGTCTGTGTCTCTCTGCCTCTCTCTCTCTGCCTGTCTCTGTCTCTCTCTCCCTCCCTCTCTGTATCTCTCTCTGTCTTTCTCTCTCTCTCTCTCTCTGCTTCTCTGTCTCTGTCTGTCTGTCTGTGTCTCTCTGTGTTTCTCTTTGCCTCTCTCTGTCTCTCTGTCTCTCTCTCTCTCTGCTTCTCTGTCTCTGTCTGTCTGTCTGTCTGTGTCTCTCTGTCTGTTTCTCTTTGCCTCTCTCTGTCTCTCTCTCTCTCTCTGCTTCTCTGTCTCTGTCTGTCTGTCTGTCTCTCTCTCATTAAAACTTACCTTTATAGAGTAAATCAAGGCAGCAATGCCCAAGGGGAAGCAGCAGCAAAGGAGGGTGAAGATGGAGTAGCCCAAATAATCTGGTTCATTGGCAGTTTGGACATTTGCGATGAGGATGGTCTGTTGAGGCTGGACAGGTATGGCTCCAGGAGGTGCAGAGTAAGCTTGGTACTGGTATGGCATAGAGGGAGACGGCCCATACATTGGAGGTGGTGGATTGATAGCTGATTTCATCGGATCAGGCTGAAACCCAGGATGAAGGGGTTCATTCATTTCAGGTGTCTTCTTCTCTGGATTGCTCATCTTGCAACCTGGTCTCCTCTCCTTCTTTTCCTTGAAGTTCTGCAATGACCTTCTCAGCAGACTCTTCTTCTTCTTTTTTCAGATGCTCCCCCAAGTCCTGCTAATCTTTCTTTCTTTTCTTGGCTGCACTTTCAATCCACACTCTTCTTGCTTTGCTACTGTCCTTCTACCATGGACTGAAACTTGCCTTGTCTGGAGGTCTGCTTCCAACAGGTGGTTGGTTATTTTATGGTAGAATTGCCCTGCCCACAGAAATAACAGTTCCTTATTGTCTTAGAATGAGATTTGTCTGCTGTGGGGAAATGTGACAACGAATAAACAGAGATGGATCTGGACTGGGTGGGGCAGCACTGGCAAACAACGGATATTTCCCTAGCAGCAGATGATGTAAATTCAGTTACTCAATTTTATTTTTTTTCTCAGTAAGGGTAGTTAGAGAAGCTCCTCCTGTCAAATAGACCTACTGCTTCACAGCTGAAAATAGGGATAGGTTTTGGACACCCCTTACATTTATTTCTAGGTTCAGTGTTTTCCCTCCACCATCTTACTTACTGCTAAATCTTTTCCACACTGGCCTCCCACTTGCTGAGGGGAAAAAAAAAAACCTGTCACCAAACATATAAGGATGTCATTGCACAAAGTTCCCTCTAAGTCAGGGGTCTTCAAACTTGGCCCTTTTATGACTGGTGGACTTCAACTCCCAGAATTCCTCAGCCAGGCTGAGGAATTCTGGGAGTTGAAGTCCACAAGTCATAAAAGGGCCAGGTTTGAAGACCCCTGCTCTAAGCAATGGACATGTGTCTCCTGCAATTGTCTTACAAGGTAGGCCAGCCTATTAATACAGGTAGCCCTTAACGTACAACCACAATTGTGCCCAAAATTTCTGTTGTTAAGTGAGACATTTGTTAAGTGAGTTTTGCCCCATTTTATGACTTTTCTTGCCACTGTTTTTAAGTGAATCACTGCAGTTGATAAGTTAGTAGCCCGGTTGTTAAGTGAAACTGGCTTCCCCACTGACTTTGCTTGTCAGAAGGTCGCAAAAGGGGATCACATGACCCCCGCGGGACAGTGCAACCGTCATAAATATGAATCAGTTGCCAAGTGTCTGAATTTTGATCACATGACCCTGGGGATGCTGCAAAGGTCATAACTATGAGAAACGGTCATAAGTCACATTTTTCAGTGCCGTTATAACTTTGAATGGTCGCTAAATGAACTGTGGTATGTCGAGGACTACCTGTAGAGGTGTATAAAGGTAGTCCTAAACTTACGACCACTGTATAATTGAGCTTGGCAATTACAGTCGTAAATCGTGATTATTGTAAAGCAGGCTGACATATGACCAAACCAATTGTTCGGTCTTGTTTTGCAGTGGCTGTTAAGCGAACGCCATAGTCATTAAGCAAGCCCATTGTTCACCATGGGCCAATTTTCTTGCCAGAAACTGAAGTAAATTGGAAGTAAACACTGTTTTCTGGCACAAAAACACCAAAAAACTCTTTGTGAATGGCAATCATGCGACAGCAAGACAGCTGTAAATGTGGGTGGATTGTTGAGTGCCCAAAATACAGTCATGTGACTGTGGAGGGGGGGCAGGGGAGGACGGAAGTTGGACCTTTGGAACCCCAATCCTGTTGCACTCAGCTTCCTACCTGGATCCTGAAGGAGGGGAACTCTGTGGGCATTTTACTTGGGAAGCAGCAGCACTTTTGGCAAAATAGTTTAGGATGTTTTTCTTCATAAAATGGTAAAAAGATGGGTTACAATAGTAGTAATAAAACAACAACAACAACAGCAACAACAACAATAATAATGCAACAATAATAATATAACAACAACAACAATATAAGTTGGAAGGGTCCTTGGAGGTCATCTAGTCCAACCCTCTGCTCAGGCAGGAAACCCTATACCGCAGGTCAGCAACCTGCGGCTCCAGAGCCGCATGTGGCTCTTTGAGCCTTCCCCTGTGGCTCCCAGCCTCTTCTGCCATTTGCAGAGAGAGAGACAGAGAGAAGCACTTGCGTTTCCCTTCTCTCTCTCTCTCTCTCTCTCTCTCTCTCTCTCTCTCTCTCTCTCTCTCTCTCTCTCTCTCTCTCTCTCTCTCTCTCTGTGTGTGTGTGTGTGTGTGTGTTTGTGTGTGTGTGTGAAAAAGAGAGTAGCCTCACCCTGTTCGAACTGGGTGGGACTCCTGCCTTGGCTGCATCTCTGCAGGAAGCAGGAAGGGCAGGAGAGAGCTAGCTAGCCCAGCTATGTTGACTCGGAAATTGTGGGAGTTGAAGTCCATGAGTCCTACAAGAGCCAGGTTGCCTACCCCTGCGCTTGTTGGAGAACAGCTTGAAGCCAGCTTGCCAGGTGAACAGAAGATTGGAGAGAGGGGGGAGAGAAAGAGAGAGAGAGAGAGAGAGAGAGGGAGGGAGGGAGGGAGGGAGGGAGGGAGGGAGAGACAGAGAGAGAGAGACCCTTTTGACATCTAAAATGAAGATAACACTGCATATATCCTTTTTTACCTTTATGATATACACACATACACACACACACACACACCCCCTATAATAAAGGTAAAAAAGGATATATGCAGTGTTATCTGCATTTTAGATGTCAGAAGGGTTTTGTGGCTCCCAGTGTTTTGTTTTGGGTGGGAAATGGGTCCAAGTGGCTCTTTGAGTGTTTTGGGTTGCCTACCCCTGCCCTATACCATTTCAGACAAATGGCTGTCCAGTCTCTTCTTAAAAACTCCCAGTGTTGGAGCATTCACAGCTTCTGGAGGAAAATTGTTCCACTGATTGATTGTTCTGACTGCCGGGAAATTTCTCTTTAGTTCTAGGTTGCTTCTCTCCTTGATTGGTTTCTATCCATTGCTTCTTGTCCTGCCTTCAGGTGCTTTGGAGAATAGGTTGACCTATTCTTCTTTGTGGCAGCCCCTGAGATATTGGAACACTGCTATCATGTCCCCCCTCGTCCTTCTCTTCATTAAACTAGACATACCCAATGATATTACTGTTGGATGGTTTCAGAATTGGCTGAATGATGGCACCCTAAGAGTGGCCATTAATGGCTTCCTTTCAGTTTGGAAGGAAGGATTGATAGCTTTGTCCTGGTACCATGTAGATGACACCATGTAAATGACAGTGTGCACCTGACATGAACCTGGGAGACAGGCGCAATACCTAAGAGTAAAGAATTCTGGGAGTTGGCGTCCCCGCATTTTAAAATTGCCAAAGTAGGGAAACATTGCTTTAGATAAGGGAGAAGATGCAGCAAGATGTAGACAGGCTTGAGCAGTGGGCCAAAAAAGAATTAGGGCGGCCCTCAGACCAGCAAGTGTCTGAAACATATAAAGGATAAGCATATTGTGGAGGAAACCTGGTTTGGCAGGAGTACGTGAGAAAGGGATCCAAGTGTCTTTGTCAGCCCAAGTTCAATATGAGCCAGCAATCTGATGCTATCTTGGTGTTCATTAAATGGAAGACAGAGTCCTGGGCATCACAGTTTTATATATTTATTGAGGTATTAGCTTTTAATCCCACCTTCATTACTTTAACTCAAGGCAGTGAACATACACAATACTCCTGCCTCCTATTTTCCCAACAAGAAAAATCTTGTGAGATAGGTTGGACTGAGAGAGAATGACTATTCTAAAGTCACCCAGCTGGCTTTTATGCCTAGGGTGGGACTAGAACTCATAGTCTCCCAGTTTCTAAGTCAGCACCTAGGCCATAGTTCAAAAATGTTTGGTAATCTTCGGTTACTTTGACTTTCAGAAGGCACAGTGTCACCAGTTTCATCCTTTTGGACTCATCTACGGTTGGCAGATGTTATTCTATGGGCTCAAACCCTCTAGCGCAATGGTGGCGAACCTATGGCACGCGTGCCAGAGGCAGCACACAGAGCCCTCTCTGTGGGCACGCATGCCATCGCCCCAGCCCCGCCTCCCCCCACGGCCCCCTCCTCACCAACAGCCCCCTGGAGGAGAGTTGCCCCCAGGCATGGCCCACGCGGAGCAGCGCAGCCAAGGACATGGCAGCCAGGCAGCTGGGACAAGACTTCGCCCTCGCACCTCATCGTGCGCAGACGATGCTGCGGGTTGTGGGCACAGGGCGTGGCCGCCATGGTGCTGCAGGGCCATCTGCTGTGGTGGGCTGTGGAGGTGGTAAGTGGCCTGGTGGGTGGGGCGGGGAGCTGGAGTGGGGGGCAGAGTGGGGGTGGGTGGGGGCAGGGCAGTTTTTGGCCTGTCTAAAAGGATCGCCATCACTGCTCTAGCGGGAATTGAACCCACAGCTCTTTGGACTGTGGATGATTATATGCAATACAATAGCAGCTATTCAGTTCCTGGTGCTCAGTTATGGGGGCGGAGTGTTATGGAGAGCTACGGGAAGAGTTTTCCAATTTCTGAAAATCTCACACAGGAAATGGACTTGTTCCTTATTATCCTGGGAGAAGCACCAGAACCAATCAGCGAAAGTTGCAAAAAAGGAAATTCAAATTAGTCATCTAAAGGAATGTATCAATTGTATAAACTTTAGTCAATGGAACCAACTGCTCACATAATGCATGATTTCTCCTTTGCTGGGGATTTCCTAACCGAAGCTGGACGATCATCTGTTAAAAATGCTGAAGTAAATCTTACATGGAACATGGGTTAGAACTAGATGACCTCTGGGGTCATTAACAAGTTTATTATTTTTATTAGGCTGAGATTGTATGAAAACTCAGCCGATGTTCTAATGTTGCTTAAAGTGTCTTTCCTCCGTTTTTGTCCTCCATGAAAACAAGTAGCGTGAATTGGGAAACTGTAAAAAGATATTCTGGGATGGCATAGGGCACCTGCCTTGAGCAGGGGTTTGGACTAGAAAACCTCTGAGGTCCCCTATGAATCTATGTTCTACATTCAAAAGAGGGACTGGCTTCAGTACTTTTATGAAGAAGCCAGGGGGTGCTAAATTGTTTACCCACAGCGCTTGCTAGCTGAGTGACTTGCCCTTCTGATAGAGAAAAGCTTTTATGTTTCCTTATTGTTTTTAATGATTAGCTGAAATTGAAAAGGCACCATGATAATGGAAGATAAGAGTGTTAAATGGGAAGGTAAGAGTCATTCAATTAACCCATTCCTTGTGCTTGCAGAATAAACTGAATTGTATATTCTAGGTTGATAGTTTACTAAAGTACACATACTTTGCCTAAGGTTATAATGAATAAATCTTGGTACATGTTGTGTGCGTGCAGCTCCTAGAATATACAACTGACAGATTAAACCTGTTGTGAGGTCTCAGCGATGTAGCTGGTGATTATTTTTATTTAATCTAACGA